TATGTCTTTGTGCTAGAACATTGTGTTCATTGGCGAGCGAGCGCAGCGAGCCATGGTTCACGGCGTGAACCACATTGGATTGCGTAGCAATTCTCGGGGGTTGGCGAGCGTTAGCGAGCAGGGGGCGGAGCCTCCTAGTATATATTAAATCATACAACAACAGTCTACTGTTGGCCGTATGGTGGCGCAGTTATCGGTAACCTCGGAAAAATGAAATCTCGTAAAATTCCATCGTGACGAGATTTAATTAAATTTGGATTTCCACATTTAATTTAATTTATAATTAATAAATGATTAATAAATTATTTATGATATGTAAATGATAATTAAAATGTAAACGATAATGTCATTTGGATCGACATAAATGACATGACTTTGGCGAGCGTGTTCTATCATAAAGCACTTGCGTTTTTATTTTTTTAATAATTGCGAGGCAGACTTCAATCAATTCTTTTAATTTGAAAAATTAATATCCAAAACAAGATTTGTAAGTTACGCATAAACGCATTTATGAAAAGATATGAGCATTCAACTTATAAATCCTCTTATGCTAGAACAAATACAAACATAAACGAAGACTTAGGTCATTCTAATAAGACTTCTATCTGTGGGATAACTTCCTCTGAACATCGAACGCGCGACAGAACACCGAGCCTCCCTGGCCGAGCGGTCTTTTCTAAAGGCTCTGTGTCGTGGATATAGCGGGTACGAATCCCATCTTAACCTTGGTTGTTTCTTTGTGATGTCCCTTTGTAACTTGTGCTTTCAGTTCTTTGGATAGTCGTATTTTGTAATGAGTAAACTAGACCTCATACGTATGTGTAAAAATAAATAAGGCAAAAGAATACTAAAAAGAGTTCGAGGTACTTTGATTATTATATTTTCATGCATAGCATAAATTTTTAAAATTCTTTAATTCATATTGTATTATAATAGGATTGCCAACTCGATATCACTTACAACCCTTTGCAATCGAAATTAATTATTACCCCGCATCGGACTGATTGTTAAGACACGATGCCCAGTAGAACACCGAAGTCAAGCATCACTGGCTACGGTCAGTGTGCGGGTGTGTGACCACTTTGATCAGCCTTCAAAAGAACCGAGAGTGCGCGGTATCGGTCCTCGTTAAACTGTTCTCGACTGCTCGTGAAGTGCTCTACTTCGTGCACAGGTCGTTGGGCTACCGAAAAGGGGGTGCTATTCTATAACCACCTAAAGTTTCACCTTCACCTCTTGAACCACCTTCTAGTAGGTGTTGGCTATTCCCTCTAAAAGGGATCAAAATTGGGATGACAGGTCTTCGCATCATTTTTAGGATGTTTCCCCAACCGTCGCCAATAGCCCATTGTGCAGCTCTAATGCTACATAAACCAACAACTATAACAATGAAATTGAAGATTCTTTTTATTATAATATTTACCTCTCGGCCTAACGTTTAAAACAAATCGAAGAGAAAACGACTTTTTGACATGGTTGTTTAGAAAAAGAGAAGGGCCTTCCCTGACCAAGCGGTGTCACCTATCCAACACTCTGAAATGGGAAGGTAGTGGGTTCGAGTCCCTCTGTAATCCTTTGAGATGCCTTTTTCTAATTTGTGCACTCTGCTCTTCTATATATGTAATGTCTTAGAGCCTTTCTTTGTGTTGCTCATACCAGCCCCCGAATGTGCTTGTAAATAAATAAATAAAGAAATCATCTGACTTGACAAGTCATTTGACTTGTCATATCACAAGAGTACGGTTCAAACGTATAGTTCTATTTGACAGTCTCTAAAGTACTATGGCTGTTAACAAAAGTGCTATATGTGCAAATATTGTTAAGAAATTAAAATAAATATGTATTAAGAAATTATGTACAAATATTGAACCCTACGTTTTGCGAACTGAATCACTGAGACATGAATTACAAAGCGTCAAATTAAATCCAAATAGCGCTTATCTATCAGAATGAAGTTAAACAATAAATGGGTTAAGCCCATAATCTAATATCCAGGCTATTAACAAATTTAATATTTAATAGTAGCAGTTCAAAAAGAAACATAAGACATTCAATTTGAAAGTAACACTGAACATTATGAAAATTATAACATGAAATTTTCTCTACTGCTCTTATTAATATTTTGAAAATAAACCATATTATTGAGGAGGGGAGATTGAAGAACTCGGACCGAATCCAGCTAATAGAAGATTTTATTTATTTATTGTTACGACATGCATTTACACGTTTGTGTGCTCAATTAGAGACCGGAATAGCCTGAATGGTAGAGTGTTGAACCCATGTCTTAGTGTTCGTGAGAACGATCCCCGCAGGCGGAAATATCCCCGTTTACAAAATGGTGATTGGCGATTCCCATAACAAATCAAATCATAACACTCTGGAGGTACCGGATCGGAGATAGATCGTGCTCTGGTTCAGGTCAATCGGCGGATGAATCTACAGATAAATGGTGTGTGAATGTGTTCTCCTGGTAAAATGGGATGTGACGTATATATGTTATCTCCAGATCCTCCTCAGGGATGTTTCCTAGACCATCAACAATAGCCCACTCTTGTAGCATTAGTGTGATTTAAGTAAAAGTACAATACTTTACCGTGGACTTAATTAAGGCTTGTAAACCTCTGTCAAGTTGAAGGACAGGTAGCACAATACTAAAAAGGACAGCGCGGAGATACATCCAAGGAAACAGCGGAATTCGAACCCACTACCTCCAAGAAACACACAGCGTTTGACGGGCGATATCACTCGGCCAGGGTGGCCTCAATTGAAGAGTTTGTTAAGTTGAAAAGTTTTTGCTAATATTAAATAGATTTTCAACTTTAATGGATGGCAAATCAATATTTCACTTTGGCTTAAAATTTCCTCATAATCTGTATAGCTTGGAATATATTGTAAAAACTAAAAAGTAACTTTTATTTAATCCTTATTAATTGTAATGAAAACATACCTGCAAGATGATCGCATAAAATCTTTATTTTCAAATATCTCAAAGCATCTTAGGCAGACTTGATCCTTTTCGTTAAATTCAGCCTCTGCAATGCTTGATTCTTCACATTGAGATTCTTTCAGTGCTTCAGGATCAATTTCACACAAAGCTAGGCCGATGATACTCAGGAGAATTATCCAAATCTTCATTTTTTCTATCAAATAATAGCATATACAAATTTAAATGCTTGATAGACTGATCTCCGAAATCGGAGCTAAATAGAGCAAATACGTATTACTGCGAATAATTTTTGATCAAATAATTTGATTTTCGCTTTGAGGTTAATTCCGCAACGATCAAAATTACCAACTGGGGAGAACACTGATTCAGATCAGTGATTTTGCACTCGCATATAGCCTCCCGCACATCCTCGTACGTAAGGTTATGCCCTGTGCAGTTACTCTTGCTACGTATGGGATTGGGCAGGATGCTACGTGAGAGTGCGAAATCTCTCAAATATGTATAACCAGAAACACACCAGTAACATATTATCAACAAATTTTGATCTATTCATTGGATTTTCGCATATAAGATTCGGTCTTACTGGCTGAAAAGTAAACTTGAAATATGCCAATTATGTTTGCTTTTCATGCTTAATGATAATCATGCTTAGTGCTAAAAACATTCTAAAGAAAATTAAGTAGAAAATTCCTTGTTTAGTTGTTGAATATAGGTTGAACATTAAAAAGACGTATTTTTTGCTGCATAAATTTTCTTTTGCACATTTTTTGATTTGTATCCATATTCTTAAAGACACATTTCGAGCTATATTCTTTTATCTCTATTAAGCATGTGTTTCGAACTATACCCCATTTCTTAACCATACATTTCAAGCTATGTCCATTTTCTTTAAAGCCCAGTTTGGGCTATATCTCATTTAAACATAATCTTTCGAGCTGGGTGCATTTTCTATCTATATGTCTGACGATATGCTTCAACAAATCTTTATAATAACTCCTAAAGTGTGCGACTCAAAACACTAACACATAGTCACTCCATAGGGGAGAGTGGGGTCAATTGTAACAGGGTACGATTGTAACAGAGCAAAAATTTCGAGTGTTAGGTTCTAGATTTGGTTCCTAGGTGGCGCACAAGGTGTATTTAATAAATTTACATGTACACCCCTGCTGGCAACCATTTTTATGCACTTTTGAAAGAGTTACATAACAAAAGATATTTTCACGCTACGGAAGTACTTTTTTTGGTATTAGAATATTATATTGTAACAAAGTAATTTTGTTTAAACAAATAAAAATTATTAACCGAATATGCAAGTGGACACCTTAATTAACATTTCAAAAAAAGATTAGTTTTGTTAATTAACTACCATTGTTTTTAACAAATGAAGCTGAAATGGCGTCTTGGGGACGATTGTAACAATAAGTAAAGGGACGATTGTAACAGCTGAAAATAAATAATCTTATGTTTACAAACCATTACTTAACTCTTTAAGAACCACCAATAGTTTCCTATATCATTTATATTATGTTGCATGTGCATTATTTTATTTGTCACCTTTCACAGCATAAATTAAAATTTTTAACCCCTTAAAGTTAAAAGTTTAACCCTTTAGGTCTCTGCTCATTATTATTTTTACTCCTAAAATATCACTACTATTTTGATCAATAAAAAAATATATCACAACTATGATAATATGTATAATTAACTATGCTGTAGTTGAATTTATGAACTGTTACAATTGACCCCGTAAGTGGGGACAATTGTAGCAAGTGCACGACTGTCAAAAATTGTTAATTACTAATATAATAGCATCTAAAATTAGGCATTTATTATTTTTTCTAGTAGAGGATAGTCTACTTTATTCGTCTGTCAATTAATACTAATAATGTATTGGATTTTTTGTTACTTAAAAATAGTTAAGTGAAAAATGTTACAATTGACCCCACTCTCCCCTAAGCTTAATCATTAGACTTTTCTACCGTTTTTAGTACTTTTAGTTAATTTCGTTAAATTTGCTTAATTCTTTCGGCGTGCAATTTATTCAAAGAGTTTTAATTCTTGTAAAATATTTAGCGCAAGATTGTGACTTATCTAAACGTTAGCAAAATTTATAACACTTACCTTAGTAAGAATTTTGCTTCAAAATTAGGTATGAAAGGTATACAACCTTAATTCACGCTGTGAAATCTATAAGTAATGGCGTTTTCTAATTCTGAAAATTATATAGTGCTACAGCTACGTTGCATTAACCACAACAGGTGATAATTTAATTGGGATGCCGAATTGATTTGTGGCACTGTTTTCATATTTTTGACAGAACAATACACAAACATATGGTAGATAAAGTGGACGGCAGATATTGGTAATTACATCCAAAAACAAAAATTAAAATCTGATGCAAAAATTCCAAACTGAATAAAGTTCTTCAACCAATCAAAATTCCGATCGAGAAAGAATTGCTTCAATATTTCAATAGTATAATTTGTTTTATTTGATGACGTATTGTTTATTTCTGACATTAGGAATGATTTTTTTGAAGCAATACTAAAAAAAGAAAGGAAAAAAAAGATTTTTAACAAAAAGAATGGAAAAATTTTCCCCAACCCGCCCTCACTTAGGGCATACGGGTAAATACTTCTTAAAATCAAAAAAATCCAGAAAACAGTACAAACATAAGATACATAAAATACATATCAGATATGGCAACAGCCCATGAACAAGGCGGGCGCAGAGCAGCAAAAATCATGTAAGGTGATAAAACATTAAAACAGCAATAAATTAAAAGTGTCAGTTAAAAAAACAATTTTAAAGATAAACGTGCAAAATTTACGAAAGAACAACACAGTATAACATATTAAAACAATACTTTTAAAACCAATTAGAAAGTACAAAAGTAATTACAATAAAATTGGAGCAGGTAGAAGTAGAAGAGTTTGTAAAAGACATAGTAAAAGTTACAAAACTATACCATCAATAAAATTGAGACACCCAAGCGGGAACGAGCAAGCTCCGAGACCATTAAAGACCGTTCCCCTAAAAGAATAATAAACCTAAATCAGAAATAAAATTCACCCAAAATTATTACATTTTAAGAAAATAATAAAACACAAAAATTAAAACAATAAAAAATAAGATGCTATTTCTATCAATGCTGTAATTTGCATGTGAAAGTAACAATCAAGAAAATACGATTCACTACGAAATGAAGAAAATTGTGATTGTCGCAAGGCGATCACAGGTTACCCATTGGCAAAATGTTTGTTGTCTAATTTTTTTTTTTTTTTGTTGAAAAAAACTTTTCTGTGTTTTCGTCTTGGACATCTCAAACTGTTGATCCTGAACTGCTCGGTACACAATTTCGCCGACATATTCAAATGCAGCTCAGACACATTCTGTGTAAATTCTTTTGATGAAATTGAATAGATTTCGAATAGACTTAGACATTGAACAGCCAATCGAGGTCAATATTAACATTTTCGATTGGTACAATGGTGTTTGTAAGTTGCATCATACACCCGTTTCGGATTCACAAGTTCATATATGAAATATGATTTGAAAGCTAGCCTTTTTCTCAATTTTGAATGAATAGTGAATGAATCATTTATATTGCGTGGAAGACAGTCTACGGTCTTGTGCAAGCTATTGGGTACGTTGACAATGAATCTTATCCCTAACTGGTGATCAACACCCAGTTCTCGTATTTGCATGAAAGGGGTTCGGAGAGTCACCATTAGCTCTTCGGTAGGGTTCAATTCTCTCAACCACTTTGGTACTTTTGTGAGAGACGGGCTTCATGTTTGCGTTTGCGAACAGAGTTCTTTCGTTTTTCCGTTTGTGTGTAAGGCTTAAGGTATTCCCGTCTACGTTCGTTGGCTTTTTCAGCCTCGGTAAGTTTAGGCCTTGGCGTTGTTTTTTCCTTGCTTCAACTCTAACTTTTAGGACCATGTCAATCAGTTTGGATCCTCTTTATTTGTGATATTCACCTGAATTAGCGATACAGTTTGAACTGTAGGTTAGAATTTCTGATTCTTAATTAAAACAATAAAAAAACAAAAATATCATTCAAATGACGAAATTCTCTTTTATTCACAACTCAAGATGTAATCATGGGATCTCTCTGGTTCCATATCTCAAAACTAAACTCACCAACTCAATGCATAACAAAATTAAAAGTGAAGAAAAGAATTCTAAAAAAATTATCAAACAGCAGCGGTCGCCATAGCAACGTATGAGCACTGTTTACTATTACTTTTGATACATTATTTCGTTGCATATTAAAAGAAATACTATTTTCGTTTTAGAAATTCTATTTTTAACCTTAAAAGAATTTCTAAAACGAAAATAGTATTTCTTTTAATATGCAACGAAATAATGTATCTATTTTTAACCTTAAAAGAATGGTGAAGAATAAACTTTCTTCAATAAAGACAGTGTTTCTTTTAAATTTTTATTTAAAATTGAAAATTATTAAATAACAAACTTACACTTTTGCACAACTTTACGCAGAGTAAGCACATAAATAGGCACAAATAATTTTAAAATTCCTTTCTAACAATTTTATAACTAACGCTGTTCACATGCATTTTTACTAGCAACGATATCTTTGTAGGAAGATATAGTCAAATTCTAACAATTGCCCAACACTATTAAAAAGATGTCTCTGATGGCTGAAAGTTATAAAAATGTTTTGTAGTTTTTTTTTATTAAAGATTAATTAATTATTAGATGGTTCATTTAGTTGAGATTTGAAAGTATTTTTTGAATGAAATATATTTATATAAAGTTATTACGCCTCCATTCTGTTATTAAATATAAGGTCATTGTACCAAAATACTCATAAAATTTCAATTGTCCTTTTTAAAAGACAAATTAGACCTCAAAAGGTGAAAGTTAAAAGCACAGTTTTAACAAGAGACACGAATAAAGCAAATTTTATTTCAAAAAATTAAAAAATTCGGAGTGAAATTTTTTAATTGTCAATTGAAGCGTTACATGTTGGGTTACTTTTTCATCGAAGTTAATACATTTTTTTTGGTGAATACTAAAACTACTAAAATTTAACAACTAAACTACTAAAATATTAACTACTAACTACTAAAATGATTCCTGGTGGAACTAAAATCAAACTACTAAAATGTCAGGAACTAAAATCAAATTAGGTACCTCTTTAAAGATGGACACGAGAAAAATATTTATATCGAAAAAGTAAGAAATAATACCATAAATCTAAAGATTCATTATTCTAAAAAAGAAAAATACTATTAAAAAAACTTACATATTTGCGAAACTTATCATGTTTTACTCACAGGAAGAAACAAAGATGATTTCCCAATTGTATTCCAATAGTTTTAACTAGTTTTGCTTTCTTTAATGCATTGTTGCTACAATAAGTCAATAAATAAACAGCAAACAGTTGAGATTTGTAATGAAACAATTGACTAGCAATAGTTTAAAAAAATGTTTTGTTGCCTTTTACTTTATTATAAACAATCTTTAATTTTTAAATTTCGTGCTTATTTAAGATTTGTAAGCATTTTTTGAATGAAATGCATTTTTTAATTGCCTCTTTTATTTTTTCATATGAGAGCCACTTTTTCAACAAAAGAAAAACTTCTTTTCTTTCCTTTTAACAACTTACATTTAAAAAAAAAAGTGTAAGATACCTCGTTAGTCTTTACAGATAGACACGAGTAAAAATATATTTATTGCAAAAAAGAACAGCAATGCAGCAGAAATCTTCAAAAGGAAAGTTTTTTTTATTTTATTTCCAATGAACTGCACAAGTACGCACACACGAGCAGACCTAGTGCGTTCTCCAGAAGTGGTATCCACTCTTTCAGGATCACTACAATGGGTGAGATACCATTGGTCATGTCAATTTGGACGTCTAGTTTCTGCCACACTAGATGACAGCACCGATACTCTTATTTGGATGCTAAAGTGCACTGGAATTTAATTTTGCCGGAAATGCCAGGAGCCAATAAGGCACTCCAAGCATCTTTTACATGCCGCATAATCATACGACATGGCCGCTGAGGATTTTCTGCATCCCGAAAATCCGGTGTCTGGGCCGGGATCGAACCCTCAGACTTGGGCTCAGAAGGTCGACGACAAACCAACTGCGCCACCAGCCACACTCAAAAGGAAAGTACTCACAATTAAATTAACGTTTCTTCATATGCGTCTCGCAGAGGACTGATCGTTAAGACACGGTTCCCATCAGATCACCGAAGTCAAGCATCACTGGCTGTGGTCAGTGTGCGGGTGGGTGACCCACTTGGATCAGTCTGCGTAGGGACCGAGGGTATGCGGTATTGGTCCTCGTTAAACTGTGCTACCGTAAAGTGCTCGACTTCGCGTGCAGGTCGTTGGGCTGCCGAAGCGGGGGTGCCATCCCCTCTGCAGAGGATCAAAATTGTGATGGCATGTCTTCGGATCATCCTCAGGGATGCTTCCCAGACCGTCGCCAATAGCACATTGTGCAGCTCTAGTGCGACGTAAATGAACTACAACACCAACAACTTCTTCATATGCGTTAACGGTGATAAGTGCCACGAATGTGTAAATTCAAAAGGAAAGTACTCACAATTATATTTACACATTCGTGGCACTTATCACCGTTAACGAATATGAAGAAACGAAGATGATTCCATAATTGTATTACAATTGTTTAAATTAGCATTGCTTAAATGCATTGTTGCTACACTAAGACGATAAGTCAATTGAATCTATAGTTAAAAGATACTTCGTCGTCGTTTTTTTTTTATTTAAAAATTACTTCATTTTTAAATGTTGTGTTCAGTTAAGCCTCTTTTGAAGGATAAGAAATTAAAGGATAAGCCTCTTTTGAAGGGTAAGCCTCTTTTGAAGGATAAGAAGTCCACTGTATCATTACATTTATAGGTAAAATTTGTCATTAAGGTAAAAACTTATTTTTGGCATCCGTTTTTATAAAATCTATCAATTTCAAAGCAAAGTGTAAGATACCATCTTAAAAATGAGTAAGGCTAAAAAAGATTATCGCAAAAATTTTGAAATTGAGTATACGAATTTTTTAAAATAAGTGTTCATTGTCCATGATGTTAATACGAATAAAATTGATCCACCGAAAAATTGCATATTTTTATTTTTATTTAATTTAATGTCTATATTTTTATTTTTATTTAAAGAAATTCTTATCACTTTTTTTTTAGAAAAATGCGAAGTACCATTTCAAAATTCGAAAGGATTAGCAATTTTCAAAGTGGCAATTTTTTTAAGAAGAAACTTTTTAAGCAAACAGAATAACTTAAACCTCAGAAATAAATTTAACTTTTAAATTTCTCCCATTTGAAGAAAAAGTTACAACTCAAATGTAAGCCGCAAGACGTTACTTTAAAGGTGGAGACGAGTAAAAAATATTTTCTTCAAAAAATAATTAAAATGTTCTTGATTAACTATTTTTGATAAAGATTTTATTTGTCCATTTTATCAATAAGTATTGAGTGTCAGTAATCTTAAAATGAATAATACTAAGAAAAAAAAACTTAACATATTTGCAAAATTTTTCATTGTTAAGGACCACCAAGTAATGGAAATAATTTCAAAATTCCAATAATTTTAACTAACATTGTTTAAAAGCATTGTTTCGAGGAAATACATATATATGTATGTGTGTAATGTTATGTCTTTAAAGGCTAGATAATTGAAGAGACTTAGGCTGCTTCTGTTAAAAAGGCATTTTATTTCGTTAGATGGAGTACTGCAAACGGGAATATCTTCATCGACGAATTATTGCCCATTAACTTCAGAAAATATCTTTTATCTGGCCTTATCTGGTTAATCTTGACTTTTTATGGCTCTTTGTGAGAGACCGACTTCTACATCTTAAACTTGATAAGAAACATATGTTTTAAGCTTACCAGTTAATATAGAATGACTCGTATGAGAAATTCTATATTACATCCCCCCTCTCCAAAAAAATTTTATTTCATTATTAAATTTAGAAAAATTATGGTTAATTACTTGCAACCCCTTCCATCAGAATTTTCAATAAAATTATAACAAAACACACACTAANGAATTCAAGGCTGAAAACATACCATTGAAATATAAATAGATTTATATTTCAAAGGAAGAGTTATTTTTAGAATCGTTCCCTTTTTCACTTCCATATAAGGAAGCAGAAATGATTTTCCTGAATGCGTAAGGATACAAGGAATGTACGAAGTGTGCTTTTTTACCTCAAATCTGTGTTGGTATAAAACATAAGAACGCATAGTTTTGCGTGACCTTTTCATCATGATTTGATCCTGATAAGCTGTTCAGGAATTGTCAGAAGTCTTGTCCATTCCCCTCCCATACGGAGTGGGGACGTGAACTGTTAGCGATACCAGCCTACATTTAAATAAACCTGTTTAGAACGTCTGATGGCTTAAAACTGTAATTATTTCAAGCTAAATACAACACTGATAACAGGGTTGGAGCCCTGTTATTACAAGTCGTCAGGACTATTACAAGTCGGCAGCATAGTTGCTTGCTGAGGAAATCGTTGGACCGGCTGTGACTGCTACGTTGAAATTTTCCTCATCCCATCCATTTTGAAACCTCATCCCATCCGGAAAGCTTCTCCCCCCTTGGACTTAAAAGAGGAGAAAAAAATCGGCAGTGAAAAAAAACGTTGAAGGAAGGAATGGCGATTTTCCACCCGTACTACTTGTACCTCGTCGCGCCTGAAATGCTGAAGAAAGGACGATGGCTGGAGATTGTCCCCTGTAACCAGTGAAAGTATCCCATCCGATGACCCTACAATTCCATAGTGCCTCTAAGTTTGAAGAAACATCATCCATGGTCGTGATTCGACACCGAGTGATCCTACAATTCTTTACTGCTCAAGTTGTGAAAACAAAAAAAAAGAATGTGCGCGAATCTTATTCATGAATTGCTACGATTTAAGTGCGCGAAAGAAGAAAAAAAATGATATGTTTTGTGTCTCTCGTCAAAGAAAAATAGATGAAGGTCAAAGGAGAAAAGTGTGGCAAATGGAAAGGATTTACTGTAGATATATTTTTTTTTCTCTCATTTTTGTTTCTTTCTCAATGTTATGCTTAAATATTTTAGTAATATTGGATATGAGTAGTAATCTNATATATAATTTTAAAAATCACTTTTAGTGAGTTAAAAAGACGCTCCCCCCTTTAAAGTTGTTGCTTTCATTTAAATACATAAATATTTTACAATTCGTGTCTAATTAAAACATAAGAATGTATTTTTGAATGAAATGCATCCTTAACTGTCTATTTTACTTTTATTTATAAGACAACACCTTACCTAAGTAAAAATTTATAAATTTCAAAGAAACAATTTTTAAGAAATAATTTTTTAGTCAGAATTGAAGTTCAAGTTATGTCTTAAAAACGGATTTGAGTAGAAAAGCCTAAAATTCCGTTCTAAAAAATTTCAAATTTCCGTTATGCAATTTTCTATAAATTTGCTTAATTTTTTGCGTATTAATACATGATAGTAAATTGTTTTTACCAAGACATTGATAGTCGTTAACTCAGAGTTGGATCGGTTGTAGTTCACCAGTTATAAAGTAAATTAAATGAAACATCTAACATGAACATATGAATAGAAACATATATAATTACAGGCATATGTTTGTAATTAAAAATTTTATTTCATTCTTAGATACACATATTCTTATATACATATATTCATTATTTATTAGAAAAACTAATCATGCTTACATATAAAATTCGATTCGCTATAAATTTAAATAGACTTAGCATGGTATTCTTATTGGCGATCAAAATGGACTACAGGTGGCGTGGAGCAGAACTTTCTGCCTATGACAACACTTGACATGCTTTCATCATTAACGAGAGGAGAGTCATAGGAGAAGGAATACGTTAGTTTCTGTCTTGATTTTCAAATAGATTAAAAACTTTTGCGTTAAGAAAATATATGAAAATGAAAACTACATTGAACATAGCTCTAAACGAAGGCATCTTGGCAATTTTGAAAAATGTTTTTGACAATAAAACAAGAACAATTTAAGAAAAAGGAATATATTGTAGTACATTCCTATACAATTAAGATGAGGAGGAGAGGGAAGGGGGATGGTCAAGACATGAACCAGGTCTTGTCTCCAGGTGGCCTATTCGAGCGTTCACGAAATGCATTTTTTTTTAAAATTATTAAAATTTAAATAATGGATTAAATGAATAACTAATTACAGTAAAATTTATCCTAAAAACAATCTTGTCTGTGTGATTAGGTATGACATCTACATAGAGGTAGAGAAAATGATGTAGTGAAACCTTAGGACAAAATCTTTTCTTTTATTGCCTTCTATGGATAATCTTTTCAGTGTAAATGTAAGCAACAACAACAACCTCGATCTCTTGACCTGCTCTACTTCCGGTTCGAAAGTATACAGCTGCTACAGCTTATTCTGCGAAGAGATATTTTTAAACAGATAATTTAACTTTCAATAAAAAAAATAATATATGATAAATTTCTAATCTAGATAAAATAAAAATGATATTGAATAATTCCGGTGAGTTTAAAGTGAAAATTTATTTTATTATTTAGATATGTCTTGTTAAAAAATCTGACATGGTTGCTAGATTTAGAAAAAACTACCTTTTGTAGCAGTTCTGATTTGTCCTCTTTTTACTTGTTTATTACTGCTTGTTCTTGTTGCACCATTATATGTTAATGTTGACCTATTATTCAAACAGTGAGATTAACTTCATTTTACAAATTATCATTTAGGTTTAAATTTTGAAGTCAGTATATTGTTAACAAGGTAAGAAGTGTCTTACAACGATTGTCTTTTCAAATGACAATTCTTGCGTCTTGAAATGATCTTTAATGATGCCTCAATGAGGTCTTCACATGACGATTCTTCATTTACACACAAATATTAAATCATATGATCAATTTTAAATCTAAGGAGAGCTGCAGGCTCTTTACCGCCTATTTTTCCTATACTGTTTCTGGTGTATTTTGAAGTCATTTGGCTCAGAGCGTGATCATTGTGTTGTGAGATTCTTTTGAATGGTAGTTATTGCAAAAGTTGTATTTGTTTATTTATTGCTTGTGTTTACAATGAATTCTGAGTCTAAATACCATATGCAATAACTTATAAAGACGTCGTTATATAGAAAGAAAAATAGTGAAAGGACAGTAAGCTTATATTATTTTATAATTGCTAAAATTATAAAGGTTATACAATTAACATTAATTGTGAAATAGTAGTGTTAAGTACAAGTAACACGTGGTTTAATCAATAATAAATATGTAAACCTTACATTTTAAAAAAGAATCGCTATAAAACACTTTTTACCTTTTCAATAATGTATGCTAACTTTCAAATTGAAACCAGAATTATAAGTTATAAACTTAATCTTGCTGCTAGAACAATATGCCAACACTAACGTAAGATGGTGCACAGCTCGCAACAAAAGCAAACAGTAATATACAAATGGAAAAAGTCCAAATCAGGACATTCGCGCGCAGGCCGTCGGGCTACCGACGCGGGGGTGCCATCCCCTCNAAAAGCAAACAGTAATATACGAATGGAAAAAGTCCAAATCAGGACAGCCAAAAAAGCGAGTTTTTCTAAACCTAGCAACCATGTCACATTTTTTAACAATATATCTATAAATACCTACAACAAATTTTCACTTCAAATTCACGAGAATTACTTATTAACATTAATATCTTATGAAATATGGCAAATTTGAGCTCAGAAATGAGCTAATTTATTTTTTTTATTAAGAACAAAATTATCTGTTTGAAAATATCGTCTCACTGAATAAGCTGTAGTAGGCAACTGCAAAATTTCTAACCGGAACTAGAGCAGGTAAGGAGCTCCAGATTGTTATTGTTTACTTTTATATTGAAATCACCATCCATACACGCATACAAGAAATACTAATAACAAGTAAGTCTCGAAACACAATGATCACGTTGTGAGCCAAATGGCTTCAAAACACACCGCAGCGCTATCTATGAACGATTTTAATAACTGCTCTTTCATTCCCAAAATCAGTTTCCTGTACATCTCAACTCAGCGGTAGAATATTTTCCAAATTTTGCTTACAAATTTTGTGTTGTCATGGCGAGAGGTAGCAGTGCCGGTTTTGATAGACATATTACTATATTTTCGCCTGAAGGGCGTTTATATCAAGTTGGTAAGTATATGGATTTTACTGTTTCATTTATTTGTTTTTTTATTTTTCCTTTAAAATAGCATAAATATCCTTTTACAAATGAATAGATGCGTTTGAAAGCACTGTTACCTGTCATAGACCCCTTCTTTATTTAGAAAAATTCGAGTTATCAAGTTTACATATTCACTATTTTTATTGTGAATCAGAACTTGTAAAGTGCTACTTTTTAAATAAATAGACTTCTGCACTTAAAAAAAATGTCATCGGAGCAAAAGGAAAAACTTTTATTCCTACCACAATTAATGCTAATGATGTATAGTACCATCTAAAATTACTTAACTATCAAATCTAAATTACCTTCTTTTAACTTAATTGTATAATATGCAACACTTATGTTATCACTTGAAAAGTTTTAATTGGTGACTTAACTGTTATATATAATTGAAAAATAAATTGTATGAAAACCCCCAACTATTCGAAATACATTTAATTTTCAGTTGATTTGTTCATATTGCAGTACAACTAGTGGGAATATGTTCTGGTGCTGAATAATTTTTTCTAAAAATCTTCTTTATAGAAGGAGCAAAACAAGTACATGTTTTCGAGGTTCCTTTGACCAGTACTTCCTTCTGTGATGTTTTTTTTTTTTTAAGTTCCTTGTAGACCAATCCCCATGTCACCAAAACTTGGCTATGTTTTTGGCATAGGTGCAGATACAAAAACCCTCCCCACGTAGGGGAAGATTTCTGTATCCGCAGAATAATCGCCAAGTCATGGCAACTTCCGAGCAATTGCCTGCAATAAAAAAGCATCACAGAAGGAATCCAACTCAAAGGGTATAATTTGTAACCACCCCCAGACAAACCTCTAAATGTTTTTTTTTTTTCTTTTTAAAAAATTCTGTTTAGAATCCATTTGGTGTCTTGTAGTTGGCGTGACAGATTTTTATATAAAAATATCAGCCCATCATGCTGTTTTAAAATGTAGTTCTCATTATTTAGTAGTAAAAGAACTTTGTGAGATTGAAACATAAAAATTGTTGCTACAAAAGAAAGTCTTATAAATGAATGTAACAAAAGATTAATATTTAGCAATATCAACAGACTATTGTACTAATTAGTCCGATTATGCAAATTCTATTATTGTTATGGCTCTCTGTCCATTTCTAAAGATAAATATTCTTTGGAATGTCCATTCCAAAGATTAGTATTTATCAATATCATCAGAATATTGTAATAATTAGTCCAATTATGCAAAGTCTATTATTGTTATGGCTCTCTGTCCGTTTCCCCAACAAATTTCTTGATTCAAACCAGTCTAATTTGTGACACTAATTTTTCCTTAAGTATGTCAAAGTGATATAAAAGAAAATATCATCATGAATAAACAGCTATCATAATTGTTAATATAAGAAAGAAGTATAGCAGAACTTAGATGAACTCATTCTATGTTTCTAACTAGGATCAGGTTATCCTTTTATTTGCCTATTGTTTAATACTTAATTCAAAATTATAAAACATTTCTTGAATATTCAACAGTATATAGGATACGATTAGGAAATTTCCTTGTTGGCCGGTTGTGGAATTTTGACAGTAACTATTGGCCAGTTTCTTTAAAAATTGAAAGTTTTAAAAACGATCTATAAAGAACTTAATATTAATAATGCAAGTTATTTCTTTTGAAACATTTCTCAAAATATTAAACATTAGAAGATTTTAAATGAATAAAGAAATTAAAGCTGAAATATATTTGATCTAAAACTTCATTTGAGCTTCAAATGAAGTTTTGATGAAGTTATGACGATGGTAATGAAAATCAACTTGCTTTGATCATTAGAAAATATGTGTCCATTCTACTTGAAAACTAGTCGTGAAAATGGGCGTCTATTTAAAAAACGTCAGCATTTATTTCCATCTTGATATTTTTTTTTGTTGCAAATAAAGTTTTATATCAAGTACATTACAAATATTACTTCTAAAAAGAAGAAAAATTTTCAGAAACGAGCATGAAGTAAAATTTTCGGAATATTGTAAAATGTTTGAAATAGTTCCATATTTATTTTTAAGAAAATTGTAAACAGAGTGCATTTTGTACAAGAGAAGTTCTGATCTGAAGGACACTATCAGAAAATTTTTTAATCGCTACTTGTTATATTCAGTAGTGTTGTGGCCAGTGGTTATTGTTATTTTACTTTTCCTTTATCTTAAGTAACTTTTTAATTTTTAGATACTGGTAAGAGATTCTGTAGAATGATATGTGTCTATTAGCTTGTAGTAATACATTTATTTGTATGCTGTGATATCAAGTGTCCAAATTTAGGAGTCAATCTATAAATTTGGTTTGTTTGAGAACTTGAAAATGAAACTCAGAAAAAAGGCAAACAAAATCCAAATTTAAAAAAAAGCTGTCCTTTCTAAAATTTTAAATGATCCTTTCACAAAGCCTATTTTTCTGAATTATTATTTGATTTAGTTTGCATTATTACACGTAAAAAGATAATTTTCCTCTATGTGAACATGTTAATTTTTATCTAAATTATTGACGAAGACACTCTTAAGACTTTAACTTTGCTAATGTGTTACAAAACTGCTTTATTACTTAGGTATGTTTCAAAAGTACTCGTTCATTTAAGATTTTTGTATTTAACCTTCCGTTAGTCGCGCACTTGTTTCCGACATGGTTAATCGCGTTGCACCTATGAGGTGTTTCTGATTTTTTGAAAGCCAAATGAAATTTAGTCTAGTTTAAATAGTTAATTGTTACCAATTTAAGACTCTTTAGAGAGATAAATATCAAAAAACTTATTTAGCGAAGTACCGAAGATAAATTTTTCTTGCTCCCGAGTCGGATCTCTTCCTCCATCACAAGATGTTCAACCAATTGACGCAAGAAGGTTCTGCGGTTTTTTACTCCGAAACCATTTTCTGTGTATATAACTTGACCATTTATACCTGCTACATTGAGAAGGACAGAAAATGAGATAAAATATATATATTTAATTCATAAAAATATTATATCCATAATACTTGCGTCAATGGTCGCGCTGCACCAGAGGGGTGATTTGAGTGGTTCCAACTCTCCATCGACATGTTCTAAGGTCGGTTTTACACTAACATTTGAGTAATCCAAAGTTAGGAACATAACATTAGGCTCGACCCCCGGAAAAATCTATTGACGGCAAAGGAGGTGGAAGTGCAGTAGGGATGCACCTGTGAGGTGCGCGCGACTAACGGAAGGTTAAAAGTTAATGTTATGGCTTTATGCAATTTTTCATTGGTAAAATGTTATACATTTTTATTCGATATTAATTTTTAGAAAAAGACATTTTTCACAAAATTTGGTATTGATCACAAAATTGGAAGAAAAAAATACTGGCGCTAAAATTTTATTTGGTTCTTGTTATAAACATAGGAGGAATATTAAGCTTACTAATAATTATTCAACTGAGAAATGTTTAAAATATTAAATCTTGTAACCTTCTGTGGGTAATCTTTTATATTCATTGTTTATGAGATATCATAGAATATTCTGAACTTCTGAAATATCATACTTTAAACTTACAGTTTGTGAATATTTATTAATATGCTTTATATTTTTTAAAGAATTTTATTCTAATGAATTATTACTATGTTTTGTAGAATATGCTTTTAAAGCAATCAATCAAGGAGGTTTAACTTCTATTGGTCTTAAAGGCAAAGATGTTGCTGTTTTGGTTACCCAAAAGAAAGTACCTGTAAGTCTGCTTTTAAAATTTGTTTCATCATTACTGAAACTTTGCATAATTCTTGTGTTTACCTAATTCTTTGTTCTTGAATAATCTTATTAATTTAAATGTCTTACATTCTTAATAAATCTTAAGTTACTGAAAACTTTGGTTCCCTCTGTTGTGATTGTGTATAAAAGTGATTTATTTTCAATAGTTTACTAATTTTTGAACAAAAATTTTGATTTCTAATTTTGCTTGTCATTTAAAAGGAATTTATTAACACTGTTGGTCGAAGTTGAAGCAATGATTACCAAAGATTGGGGGGGGGAGTTGTAGGCATTTTTAAAACTGGAATAATCATTTAACAAGCTTATCTTATAAATTTCATCGACAACTTAATGTTTCAAAATTTGTTCATAATTCCCTTCCTGGATAGCAATATGAAATGGTTGCATAAGTAAGTGTAAAAAAAGGGTATTTTCTTATGCATCTTTCTTGTAACTTATGAAATATTCAAACTATATTGACTAATTCGATTTAGTATAAAAAAACACATACGAAACAATGTCTCACTTGTTTAATAAGTTAGAAGTACTAATTTTACACTAAACCCTTATAACTTCTAAATTATTAGTCGGATCGTCTGGGGGATTGGTCTCCTTCAATTCAGTATGAAAAAATACATTCGAAATTATACCTCACTTACCAGTTCTTCCCTTCAAATCACTCCCATTTTCCCGAATAAAGGAGAATAAAAGCACTTTCAGGTATCAAAATTTTCTATGAACAAAAATCTTAGGTTACTAAATCTCCTGAGAGCGTGACTATTAATAGCAGGGTTGCAAAAATCCCACCCTAAAGTGGGTTTTTCTAAGATTGATTTCTTTTTTATCCTCTGTTATATTAAAGAGCTATTCTATTGAAATATATATGTAGTCTAGCCTAAAAAAATTAACCTATGGTAAAAATACTATGTTGGAGACTGGAGAGTCACCTTGCTGGCTAGATTTGACTGTATGGCTATTGCGTTCCATTGTCAGTGCCTTTGATTCGCTTTCTATGAAAATAAAAAATTTTCCTCAAATATTTTTTAAGACTAAAATATAAATAAAAAGTAATCCTGTGTTAAGATAAGTTTCAAATGTGTGATGCGACTACATATAACATTTTGTATCGTGATGTCAGAAGAAACTTTTTTCAGACTTTTGCATTAATTTATTTGTATTAATTACCTATATATTAAGTCAATTTATAAAAGTAAACTTAATTATTAGTATTAATAGGCTTTTTTGAAATAAGGTACTTATCCCTGTCTTTTGAAAAAAAAACTCCATTAAAACATGAAAAACCCAGAAAAACCTGGGTTTTTTGCAACCCTGTATAATAGGGAGTGCACATCACATGTAGAACAATTCTGTATAACATGATGTTGTCTTAGAGTATTTATTACTTGCAGCATTATTTTCTGTTAAATTTCTTGAATTTAACAATTTTAACTTGTCTTACTATCTTTAAGGATAAACTTTTGGACCCAACTTCAATTACTCATATGTATGCTGTAACGGACGATATTGGAGCTGTTATGACAGGATTAGTTGGTAATTTATTTAATGTTATATAAACTGTATTTTTGTAAACAAGTTTGTTAATCACTAAAAGTGAAAGAAGTTCAATGTCGATTGTTGTTTTTTTAATACGTGGTATTTGAATATAATTTTGATTTATATATTTAAAGTTTCTCTTTTTGATCTTGGCATTAAAATCATTTTTCTTTTATGCTTCTTATTCTTGTATCTATACCATCTGAAAATGTGATTTTAAATTGGTGTCAGAGGTTGTAGCATTTTTTTCCCTTCAAAAAAAAAACTTAAAATATATACAATACATTAACAAGAAATGTGTAAGCATGAAGGTTCAAATATATAATTTGAACCTCAATTTTTACTTATTTCTTGTTAATGTCTTGTGCATATTTCTTGTTCTTGTATATATTTCTTTTTGTCTCAATACATATTTTTTGTTAATAGAAATAATTTCATTTTTAGTATAAATTCCCAGAAACTAATACATCTTAAAACATTTAAGTTAATTGATATGTAATACAGGTGTGTTTAGTGTAGAAATGTAACAAATATTTGGCCCTTTTGCCGAATATTCGGTTGGTTGAATGTTGGGCAGAGTATTTTTTGGAAAAAATATTGTTTGACAAAAATTTTTTATGTGGAACTTGAATAATCTAAAATTGTATTTTTTTTATTTTGTATTATTTTAAATTGTTTTTACACAAATTTGTTAAGTTCTAACACTTGTTAATTTATGTTCGGAAAGATGAATGGAAAAGTAAAACTTGAAGAATTGAAACTAGATTACTTTATAAGTTTTGTGCTACTGATTTTTTTTGTTGTTTTTTTGAATGATATTCTGGTTTCAAAATTTTTTAAACACTTTTTTTTCTTCTAAGACTTGATACCTTTTTTTAGTTTGTTCCATTTTTCTGTTTTAATTACAGCACCTCATTTTAAAGGGGCCTTCTTTATAGATTTTACTGTCACTTTTTTCCTGTACAGTATGAAAGATAACAGGTAGCCTAGAAAAGTGTGATTCTCAATGTTAAGGTTACATTTCAGAACTAGGAACAAAAAAATTTTTTTCTGTTTCTCTTTTGCTTTTTTACTAACTCTTCTTTTTATCAGCATTTTTATCCTGACACAGCATTTTTTTGAAGGTGTTTCTAATGAATGGTATTCTTTTATAATTCTTCTTTCTGAAAAATATGGCAATGTGAGAAAGTTAAATTGAGATTTTTAATATTTAATTGAAAATTAAGAACGATTTTTTGGTTTCTATCTCTTTTTCTTTTTTAAATACTTTTGTTTTTATGAATGTTTTTATTATGAGGCAGTTAAGATTTCCTTCGAAGATGAAGATTTCTTTCAGAGATTTTCTTTGGGATAAGAATTTCTTTCGAAAATTAAGATTTATTTTTCTGTTTTGTTTTTGTATATAATCTTTTTTATATGTGTTTTTATGTTAGCACTGCCTTTTTAAAGACATTTCTAAGGCTATAACTCTTTTAACGTTTTATAGATAATTTTTTTCTGGAAAATTTTTTAGCGTTAAAGTTTTGTTTTAAGAATTAAGTGAATATTTTTTTCTATTTCACTTTTTCTTTTTTTCTTTCTACTTTACAACTTAAGTTTTTATTAATCCAGTTACTCTTATTATTTATCTTAAATATTTCTAATTATCTTAATGTCTAATTATCTTTATTATATTAAATATTTCTATTATAGTTTTTTTCCCTTTATCTCATACCAATAACATTGCTAAGTTTTAACTATTTTTCATTAATGACTAAACTTATTTATATATAAAACTATTCATACTTTATATCAAAACATTAATATTTATTAATGATTTTAAAAAAAAAATTTTGCTTTTCGGTTGCTGAATATTTGGTATTCAACCGATTTATTTTAACCTAATATTCGGCCAAATCACTGTTTGTTACATCCCATGGTTAATGCATGTTTTTAATTGAAAAGGCAGATTGTATTTTGATCAACGGCAATTAAATGTATTGGCTCTTTTTAATCTATTTTTATCCATCAGTGATATATGTACATTAAAATAGTTTTAAGATCAAACAAAAAGTTCTTAAATTTTTTTATTAAAAGTAATCTGACAGTGTTTATGAAATGTTTTTTTTTATGCTCTTTAAAACTTTATCATTTTGGAGTGCTCACATCTTTCTATTCTACTGCGCTTATGCTCAAAATTGCTCAGTTTTTATAAAGTTGTTGAAATTATATATTTTTTTTCTAATGTTGTGGTGAATTAGAGATATACGATCCAATGTAGTGAAATACACTTTTTTTAAACTCTTCACTTCCCCTTTTTAAAAACAATGTGCATGTTTTGCACCAAAAAATTTCATGATTTCTTTCAAAAGTTTTGTCTTGAGTTGTCAGGATAAGTTGAACCACTACAAAGCTGACAGAATACTACTTAAACATATGCTTTAAAAAAAAAGGTAGAGTATTTCTCAAGTAATTAAACATAACTTTTCTTGTAATAAAAGTATTAGATATTTAATTCTAATTTTTTAGTAAAATATCTAAAACGTGAAAATGATATTTTCTTTAAATTGTTATAGAATTTTTAAGAAATTAAATTTATTCTCTACTGTTTCATTGTTTGAAATAATAAAATAAAATGTTAATTCTAGAGAAGGTCCAGATGTGTGTGTGTGGGGGGGGGGACTGCAGTTACTGGTGTGACTTGTGATTGAAAGTGACAAATGTTACGTAATTTTAAAATAAAGTAATTTATTGGTTTTAAACATGAAAAAAAAATTATACAAAAATAATTGAGAAAGAATAAAAGAAAGAACTGAAAATGCCTCTCCGGAGTTTCAGCTATTAAATAATTCTGGTCTTTTAAGGCTAAAATTAGTATTTTCTTTAAGTGAGATACTATGAGAAGTACAATAGTAATTTTATTATTACTATTTTTTTAAATAATAATTGTATCATAGGTAATGCAAAAACTTAGCACTCATCAGTTAATGATACAGTATAAAGATATGAATGGTGTATTCAAATGTGATGTAAATGTGTATTTCTACTCATGTTCATTGAATGAACATTTCATAATGTAGCTGAAAGGCTTAAGAGTTAATTAAAGTGTTTTCACAGTGGAAAAAAAACTACCATATGAAAATTTAATCCTGTTATATATTAAGATTTTAGTGTTGCAAAATCATTCATAGTGACATATTAGTGTTTCTTAAAAATCCCTTTTATATTTCAGCTGATGGGCAGTTTCAAATGATGAGAGCTCGATACGAAGCATCGAATTATCAATATAAGTTTGGTCACCCAGTACAAGCTCACATGCTTTGTAAGCGGATTGCAGATTTATCGCAAATATACACCCAAAATGCTGAGATGAGGCCTCTAGGGTGTAGTAAGTATTATGCTTTAAATTTGAAGCATTTTGTGTTATTAATTTATGCCCCATTTAAATTTTATAAAATGTTTCACGTCAAAAATGAAAATGTAGTTACCCAAGATCACTGCCTAAGTTTCCATTTAGTGGCTGCTGTATTTTGGTAGACAAGCAAAACAAATACACAAATTATATATATTTTAGAATGCTTATGTACTTATTTGTACAGTATTTAAATTTTTAAATATCCTAAATGCCAAATAGTTTTCAAAATTTTGAGTATTTTTTTACTATATATTTGTAGTGATCAACTAACTCATGTAGATTAACTATTGTTTCTACAGTGGTTATTGCTACAGAATTTGATTCTTGGCATTTTTGATGCTCTCTTAAGATTTCATTTTAAATTTTCACACTTTGTAATTGTTGCACTTATTGTTATTATGTTGTGCTCCATAATTATTATATTCTCAGATACAAGTTGCACATTTATGAAATTACTTTTTGACATGCTCAATTGCGATGTCTTAACCACTAAGTAAGTGGCTAAATTAGTACAAGAATCCTTATGATTCTGAGAATCCTAATTTTTCTATGATTATTCTGTGTGGTACCCTTTTTTAAAAAATGAAAAGTTTTTCCTTTTCTGAAGGAGGTACTAATATTTTTTTGCGCCTGCTATTATTCATTATTGGCTATGACTAGACTGACTCTGTTCATAATGCTTTCATTCTAGTTTATTAAAGAAATTTCTTAATAAAGTAAAGAAACCTTCATAGATGAAGAATATATCAAAATAAGGAATTAATCTCTTAATATAAAGAAATCTCCCGTCGCATTATCAAAAGCTTTAGCCCTAGATAATGTGATATTACTCTACTCTAGTTGTTCTGCAGTATGGTTAAAAAAATATCAGACTACTTGAGTGTTTCGCGTGACTATTTTTCAGATTTTGTTACTGACTTGTGGGCAATTGTCATCATGAACCCTATCTATTTAATTCAGTTTTTGAGGAATCTATTAATTTCACAAATTTTATTTGCGTGATTTTGTCTACACTTACAATTCAAAAGCAAATATTCAAGAAAATATCTTGTTTTAACCCTATGAGAAATGTTTTACTTAGAATTAAGTTTTTACTTCATTTATTGTAGCTTGCTAGTGACTGCTCTTATATATAGAAAGTTTATCTGAAATCAAAAGAAAGTTTAAACTGGTCTTGTTAATGTGTCCTTCAATTTGTTAGATTTTTTTATTGTTCATAGCAATTTTGCGATCACTGTTCCCATATACAGGGATGAGATTTTTTCACTTTTATCTCTTGAATTTCAGCTTTTTTTTATCAAAAATTCAGATTTTCTAATAATTTCACTTTTTTTTATAAGTATTCCGCTTTTTCAGAAAATTCACCGATTTTCAAAGAGAAACAGAAAATTAAAACTACATAGCTACCAATCCTTTCTCATTTTTACTTATTTTAGCTATTTTCTCCTCTTTTACATGTAGCAGATAAGATTTTCCGAATTTTTTACCCGCCCTCCAGATAGATCCGATTTTCGTAGTTGAAACGATGCTGCTTCTGTCAAGCCTTATAGTGGTCCCAAGCCTGGAATCTGCTAATATCTCGATTCTTATTCACACGATTTTAATATCAAACATAGCTTTTCATATTTGCGTTTTGCGATTCTTATTCACGCGATTTGAATATTGTACGTTGCGATTCTTATTTACGAGATTTAAAAATCCGATATCAATATCTTTTTA